AGCGTTTATATTGGTTCAATGGGGGCAATAATTTACTCTGATTTCCTATTTATCTATGTTTGCACTTAAATACCAAGACCTTCACATACAGAATCCTTCTACTGGGTGTTCAGCTAATCAGAAAATATAAAGACCTTTTATTTTTGTTTTTTAGAAGTAAGAAGTAAATGTTAATTTGGTACATGCTGGAGAACAGATTTATTTTATTTTTTTTCCTTGTTTTTTGTTTATTTGGCAGTAAAACACTCAATCTCACTTAAGGGTGATCTCAGTCGAATTCCAAGGGAATACAAGTCCATTTTACAAGCTAGCACCTTCATGACAGTCTCAGCAGAGAACTTGCAGACAGTTGAACTATGCCTCCACCTCTTAACCAGAATATTAATAATTCGTGTATTATAATGGTATTTTTGCCATTCATAACATTTACATTTTCATGAAAAATGAACAATGGGATGTGTGCTGGGATTTAGTTTCATGTGTTTACAGTGATATGCTCTTCAACAGCTGTATGAAACAAACTGCAATCCCTTTCCAGACTCAGCTGCAAAATGAACTAGATGTTCTGCCCCACAGGCAATCATGCCACTCTTTTTTTTTCATCATGGATTAGGCACTAATATGCTGTTCAGTCAACCGTATCTTCTATATGGAACCAGGAACCCTAATGAAGCTTATGTTTAACGAGACAAAGACTCTGCCTTGTTAAATGAGAGAGAGAGAGAGAGAAAGAACAGAACTTGTCAGGGATTCAGTGATCATAACACGTATTTATAAAATAAACTGAACATAGATACTAAAGCGTAACATTTAACTACTCTTAACAAGCATAGAAAAAAACTATCTTTCACTGTCTGGTGGTTTACTATTCAGTTTTCCTTAGCAACTGAGTTGTGTCTGTGAAAAAAATTCTCAGCAGCTCATATTTTTGCTGTTTTGGAATTTGTTTGGAGAATGCAGAACAAGAATTTTAACAAAATGTAACAGTGGTGGAACTGGGACAGCAGCCTTGAGTGCTAACTTGTCAGGGGTGGGGAATGCAGCACTAACGTCTGCTGCTGCAGCCCCCACCCCCTGTCTAAAATTAGACAGATAATTTTACTCTCTTTCTACATTTCATTTCTCAGAAAATGCTCCTGGAAGATTCTTTTTAACTTATCCAGTAGTGTATTAATGTAAAATATATTAGTCAAGGATAATAAATAGTGTCTGTTTTGTTGTAACAAAATATTTCAGTGGGTTGTGCCAAAATGATAAAATAAGGCTTATGAACAACCCTAATTTTGGAGATGTCCAGAAAATAGTTGTAAAATGCAAACCTAGGTTTAGATTTGAATTCCCCCAAATTTGTGTGCACTCAGATCTTGGGCTAAATTCACTTCTGGTATGAAAATGGTGTAATTTGTTTGATTTTGATCCTTGATTAACATTTTTGAATTTCAGTGAGTTTATGCCAGTTTAAGCCAGACAAAAATTTTCTAAGATTTAGAAAATAAAAAGTTTGGCTCATTAATTTGGGGAGGGTAAGAAGGATAGGAGGGTCACTCAGTCGAATATGAGGCATATGAAAGTCTTGAGAGCCTAAGTCAGTGGTTCTTAACCTTTTTAATGGAGACACTCTTCAATAGCCTTGAGGCACCTCTCAGAAAATGCTAACTCCTATTAGTTTCCACTTGTTTTTTTTGGCTATAGAAAAATAATAGAGCAATGTTTCTGTTGTATTCTGTTGCAGGTCAGAATGGTTTTAACACTGTGGATTCGTATTTGAAATTTCTGGGTTTATCATACAAATTATGTTTGCTCACCTAACAGTGCTAATGTTGTGTGGCACCCTTGAAAGAATCTGAAAGTACTCCCTGGTGCCCTGGTACACTGGTTTAAAATCACTTGCCTAATTCAACAGAAACATCCACACAAATGCAGAGGACATTGGCTCTTGGAGATTGGTTCTTGTTTAATATTAAAAATGTTTAATATTAAAAAAGTTTCCGTATAACAACAGTCACTTTATTTTCATCGAGGATGAAGTAGAGTAATTGCTTTCCTTGATTTCATATTCTTCTTTCATATTCTTTATTTTCAGACTTTCTTCGAGTGGCAGTTGCTCATTGTTTAGTACATCATATTCCTCCCTGGAGCTTTACGTTACCTTGCATGTCACCAAATGAGACGTCTATCATACCAGTGCCTTCTGGAGCTGTAGAGACCAACTCCTGTTTGAATGGGGGCTGTGGAATGGCTGATACCAACCCAGTGGTGGGGGTGACTGAACAGAGTTTTCTTTGCTGCCTTTGGAATGATATAAACATAAATTGTTCTTTGTACAAACCAAGCATGGAAACAAAGAGTTTTATTTCTACAGAAATAAGTGTCTTAGCTTCTCTTCACACAGGTAGGTTTGTAATGTAAGTGTTTAAAGGAATTTGGTATTGGACCTCGCAGTTTCTTCATTTTTCAAGCATTTTGGCTGCTTACATACATTTAAAAAAATGGCATTTTACTTAAAATGCCATGCGCCCCTGTGCCAAACCCAGCACATGCCCAGAAGAGGCATCATGTTAGTTGGACCTGGCTCTCCCAGCATCTGTATAGATCGGGTGCTTCAGCCAGGCTTTTATGGCACGTTTATCTAATAGCTGATTGAATCAGCTACTAGCTAAAAATGCCAGGAAGCCCCACTGAAGCACCTGATCTATACAGATGCTGTGGAGCCAGGTTGAACTAATGCGCTGCTGCTTCTAGTAAAGTGCATTTTCCCTCCTCACCCAACATCTGTCCTTTATTAATTACTTTTTTCCATTTGTATTGGGTCCTGTACAAGCATGAAGGAAAATCTTTGCCTCAGAGAGACTGCAATAGAAAAAATAATGATAATGAAGTCAGTGGCAAAATTACCTTTGATTTCAGTAGGGTGGGAATTTAATCCATCCAACATGGCCTTCTTTGTTAAATAAGTCATTTTGTGAAGTATAACCATAATAATTTTGTCGCTTTCTCATACCTTATACTGGTTGGTAGAGCTGTAACAAAAAAAATTGGCAAATGACAGAAACTTACACACACACACACACACACACCCTTTCCTACCTCTCTCCATTTGTATTGGTAAGCAGAACTTTTTGTAATTGACCTTAATTATGTCCTTCTTTGTATCTGAACAATATAGTGAGTAATTGCCAGGCATATCATGGCTAAGATCTTAATCTTTAAAACACTACATATATGCATGTGCTTTCTATAAATTCATTCAAACTCAAGGAGGCCCCTTCCTAAAATTTGCAGGGATGAGGCCCAGACGTAACTGCAGATGGGAAAATGTCAGTTTTTTCCTTTTTCACTTCCTGTTGTTTCTGTCCGGCCCAGCAAGTACATTGATGGTTAAAAATACCGTATTGACCTGAATCCAAGCTGACCCTGAATTTAAGATGACCCCCCAATAATTAGATTTTATACATGAAAAATTTATAAATGATACATACATCATTCATGTATAGAATCTAATTATTGGAGGAGTGTCTTAAAATCATCCCCACCGCTGCAGTGGGGAAGGCAGTGGTAGTGCGGCAGGTGGTAGGGAAGTCAGTGTGGGGGGACAGGAGGTGGGGGGCAGGCAGGGGAGGGAATAGTTGGGATGGAGGCAGTGGGGGTAGGGGACAGGCAGCTTGACCTCTGATGCTTTCCCCCACCCCACTCAGTTAACCTCCCTAGTGCCTATCCCCACTCTTCCCCCACGACAGCCACTGCCCCCCTCATGTCCTTCCATCCCCCCTAACCTTTCTCCAGTGCCAATAGGCTCTGTCCCTGCTCCAGCCTGGGGTTTGGCCCCATAGCAGGGGTGCTGGCTCCACACCTAAGTGGGTACGGAGCCTACTGGTGCCAGAGCAAGGGCAAGGGGTTGGAAGGGGAATGGGGGGAGGGGGCAGGGAGAAACTGCGGTGGGAGGAAAAAGGGGGGGGCGGGAATGGCCAGAAGCTGTTCTGGCGGGAAAGGCAGGGGTGCAGAGGTGGGGGTTGGGGCAGGCAGGCAGCAGCTGCGGCTCTGGCCCCAACCCAGGGCTGTGGATGGAGGCAAAGCTAGAGTCGAAGCAGCTGCCTATCATCCCATTGCCTCCTGCCTCCGCTGCCTCATACTTGATTCCAGGATGAGGGGCTTTCCCCAACCATGTTAAATGGGGGGGAAAACCTCATCTTGGAATCAAGTAAATGTTGTATTGGTGGATTTATTTTAGCTTTTCAAATGTTTTAGGTTTCAGTGTGCTTTAGAAAGCATTAAAGTCTTTCTTCCTGTTTAGATTTGAGCTGGAACACTGAATGTTGGACTAAAGGAGATCTGGAACAGCTAGTCTGTATCTTGAAATTGTCTAAGTTGCATGTGAATGGCGATTTGAAGGTTCATCTTTTATATGCTCTGTAAGTACGAAATGTATTAAGTTTGCCATTGTCAGCAGTAGAAGTGAAAGGATTTCCTAAAGTATAAGTAAACATGCCACAGGTTTACAGTTCAAAAATAGTATTTCTCATCTGTAACGTTTTGATAGCATTAAGTCTTTTAGTGGATAAAATATCCATTTTGACTGCTGGCCTGTTTGTTTTAAGATCATTTTTACCTAGGACAGCAAGGTATTGTCATATATGTTTCAGTGTTTAAATGGTATATGGGTAAGATGAAATTTCCTTTCTCTTTTTGTCCTTTCCTCATATTTATGAAACTGCTTATTTTGTTTTGGCTAAGTCAAAGATGCTTTGCATCAACATATTTATTTTTGCAACCCTTAATTCTTTTTATACTTAAACTTGACTGTGGTCCTGTCTGCTTTAGCTTACACCTATTCTGTTGTGTGTCTCAGTAATTTATCATGGTACAGTAAAAGCTTTTTATCTGACATGAGTGGGGTAAAGGGGGATTCTGGTTATCTGGGCTTGCACGCGGCAGTGGCAGTGGCGCGGGGTGGTGGCTGGCAGCGGTGGCCTCCACCACCGCCGCATGCAATCTCCTGCGCTTCCTCTGTGAAATCAGAGCTCCTCCAGCTTCCTTTGCTCACTAGGATGCAAGTCCAAACCCCTCATACCTCACCCCCAGCCCCCCCCCCCCGGCTGGTTCCCCTAACGCCCCACCCACAGCCCTCTGGCCCTGCTGGTGCCCCTCGCACCTCATCCACAGCCCCCCCCACCCCTGCTGGTGCCCCTAACTCCCCACCCACAGCACTTCACCCCTGCTGGTGCCCCTCACTCTCCGCAACAGTCCCCAGGGCCTGCTGGTGTCCCTCACTCCCCAAATGCAGCAGCCCACCCACAAGCCCTGCCAGCGGGGGCTACCAGCTGCCAGGACTATGGGGCCAGGGACCCAGATCTGTATCCCCCCCACCCCCCACAGCAGCACTGTGGGGGGGCTGGTGTGAGCTACCTGCTGAGGGCTTAGGGCTCCCCACTCTGATGTTCTCCCCCTAGGGCCTCCACAGCCTAAGAGGCAGGACCCAGTGTGGTAAGGCAGAGCAGGGCCAGGCAAGGTAGTTCCTTGCCAGTGCAAGTCTTGCGCTGCCCTGGCAAGGTGCCCCCTGCCTGCCCAGCAGCAGTGGGGGACACAACTCTGCACCACGACTTCTGCTGCTGCCAAGAGGGCAGGGGGCACCTTGCCACAGTGGCACAGGGTTTGCAGCAGCAAGGAGCTTCCCTGTCTGGCCCTGCTCTGCCTTACTGTGGTGGGTTCCCCACACTGGGCTGCGGTGGCCCCAGGGGGAAGGGCAGCAGGGCAGGGAGCCTGAGCCCACAGCAGGCATCCTGTCCCTGCTGCGCACACAGATCTGGGGGGCACGTGCCCCCTTGCCTCTCTCAGGAGTGCACACAGCAGTGGGGAGCCCGTCCCTCCTCCCCTGCCCTTCCCTCCCTATGGGAGCCTCTATCCCTCCTTCACCCACCAGAATTATCTGCAGGAGCTGCTCTTCAGGCTCCCTGGCAGCCATGTGCATGTGTGAGCATGTACATCACATGGCATCCCCTGCCTGACTGCCCTCCTCTTGCTCCCCGCAGCCCCTTGAAGACTGGAACTCTGCCAGCCTGCAGAGAGCTCTTTGCAAAAGAAGAAAATCTGCATTTTTCCATTAAAATGAAAAATCCGTGTTTTTCTCAGTTAAAAGAGGGAAATCCGTGTTTTACCATTTTTCAGTGGAAAACAAAAAACCCAGATCCTGTCTTATGTGATAGAATCTAACATTTTTGATACGCCTTTGAGGGTAAAAACAGATGCTGTTTTTGTTGCGGCACCATCTGTGCTAGAATGTGTTCTGGCACAGCTGATGTGATTGAGCAGTAAAAACAGATGTCACCAGGGTTGCTGTTCCTCTGCTTCCCTCTGAAACCCCAGGAGTGTTAGCAGCCCAACCCTATGGCACAATGGCCTCAGATACCTGGGCACACATTTCATGCTGCTGTACCCTGACCCTGCAGGAGAATTCCCAGGGCACACAATAAGCAAACAGGCATCCACCCCATAAGGCATCACAAACCAGATTTCATTGCACAAGCATTTTGGGGCAAGTGGAGTGCAAGAAGTTTGCTTGAAACTTGTGCCTCCATAAACGTTTTTATGGTACAAAAGCAACTTCTGTTTGCACCCATAGAAGCAATAGACATAAAAATAATGTTAAAGACTGTTCTAAATATTTGTTTGAAAGGTAGCAGATTTTAATGACCTGGAACTTGAGAAAGGTGCCTCTTTTATATGTTTATGCATTAAATGAAAGGATAATTCAATGATAAGTGTATGTGTTTACATTTCAAGAGTATCTTGCTCTCCATGTGCAACCGTTGAATTGCATGGCATTCAACCCTGATGGATTTTCTATTTTCTGCTTTCCTTTTAATTTCAACTTGTATAGAATACTGGGGTTAACACCTGTGTAAGGAAATATGTGCTCCTTTAACGAAGGTCCTGCTGCTGCTAGGCTGCTGTTTTAGCTTGTTGGATTACTGTAGCAGTGTGATCTCTCCCTTTAAGTCGAGTAGACAGCAACTCAGCAGTGAGTGACTAGTTGGCAGTTAAAAACCCAAGGGCAGAGAGAGCAGGTAGCTCAAGCTGGAGAAGGGCAGCTGTGGCCAGGAGGCAGACTGAAGCTCAGAAGAGCTTGCTTCTAGGAAGGGCCAGAATTAAGGGCTCTTGCCTGCCATCTGAAGAAAGGCCAAAGGTTTTCCTTTGCTGGTTTGTCTGCTGTTTTAGGCAAGGATTATTGTTGGTGGTATGAGGGCTCCCAAGGGAACAAAGCCAGCTGGCAAGGCTGCAGGCACTCAAACCCATTTATGGACTGGCTGAGGGGCTCCTAAGGGGACCAAGCCCATCTGTGTGGGAGCAGGCACACCAACTCACTTACAGCGATCTTGCAGTGAGGGAGCATCCGCCACAAATAGAAAGGAACACTGGTCTTGTGGTTAATTAGATTGGATTTGGAAGATTTGGGTTCAGATCCTTGCTTTGCCTGTGTGTCGTTTGATCTCTGTGCTTGTCATTTGTACAATGGGGATGATAAATGTTCATAGATGTAGGGTTGGAAGGGACCTTGCAGATCTTCTAGTCCGACCCCCTGCCCTGGGCAGGAGAGAGAACTGGGCTAAAATGACCCCAGCCAGGTAATCATCAAGCCTCCTCTTAAAGACCCCCAAGGTAGGAGCCAGCACTACTTTCTTTGGAAGTTGGTTCCAGATCCTAGCTGCCCTGACTGAAGTAGTGCTTTCTAATGTCTAGTCTGAATGTACTCTCTAACAACTTATGGCTGTTATTCCTTGTTACTCCGGGAGGCACTCCCCACTGGTCCCCCCTAGTAAGTTTATAGACAGCCACCAGGTCCCCTCTCAGCCTTCTCTTGTGGAGGCTGAACAGGTTCAGGTCCTGTAGCCTCTCTTCATAGGGTCTGCCCTGCTGTCCCTGGATCATATGAGTGGCCCTCCTCTGGACCCTCTCAATGCTGTCTACATCCCTCCTGAAGTGCAGTGCCCAGAACTGGACACAGTACTCCAGCTGTGGCCTGACCAGTGTTGCATAGGAGGGGGGGAATCACCTCCTTGGCCCTGCTTGTGATGCAGCTGTGGATGCATGACAAGGTGCAGTTAGCCTTACTGACGGTGTCCTCACATTGGTGGCCCATGTTCATCTTGGAATTGATAAGGACTCCAAGATCTCTTTCTGCCTCTGTGCTTTCAAGAAGGGAGTTCCCCAGCCTGTAGGTATGGTGCTGGTTCTTACTGCCCAAGTGCAGCACCCTACACTTGCCAGTATTGAATCCCATCCTATTCTCATTTGCCCACCCCTGTAACCTGTCCAGGTCCAGCTGCATCCTGTCCCTCCCTTTTAGTGTGCCCACCTCACCCCAAATCTTGGTGTCGTCCACGAATTTAAACAGGGTGCTTTTCACACTCTTGTCCAAGTCGCTAATAAAGAAATTGAACAGTGTGGGCCCAAGGACTGAGCCCTGGGGGACTCCACTGTTCACATCCCTCCAGGTCGAATGTGACCCATCCACCACCACTCTTTGAGTGGTTCATTTTCATCTTTTTCTTTAAAATAAACTTTTCAGGGCAGGGACAACCTGTTACTATATATTTACTCAATTGGACCCCAGTATTACCTGGGGCATCATGGTGCTGCCATAATACAAATGACAAACTCTAGGAAAACAACAGAGCAGTTAAGATGTATATGTAGTGGTCCTTATTTAAAAAGTCAGCACTGGTCCACAGATATCAGATATCAGTTTTTCTCTGTAATCTGACTGGGAAGTAACTGTTATAACTGGTAGTAAAGGCAAAACTTTTTTATTGCTACATGCTTAAAAATACTCTAAAACCAAACACTCATTATGCTTTCTGTATCTCTATAATTATTATGCATAGTCGTGTTAGAAACAAAACAGCACTTCCTCATGTTCCATCCCAAATCATTATGTAGAAACATCCAAGTTGGCAGGGATAATTTAGTAACCTATGCATCAGTTTTGCCATTTCTAACCTCCTTAGAGTTACAGGTTCAAATTCTAGCCAGGTTGTAAAAGCTGTTCATTTTTTCAAGACAGATTTAATCAATATATTTATTTTGTGTGAGACAAGGATTTTTTGGGGTGATTAACTTTTATTGGACAAGCTCAAGGGTTGGAACAAAGACAAAGAAAGTTAGACAAGGTTTTGAATGCAAGGCATTCTTCATCAGGTTCTGATCATTCCTGGATCATCACAGCTACAACATCACTCTAACACTACCATTTACTCTGTGTGTAACTTTCAAATGAGAACTTAAAAACAGAAATCCTGTGTGCACACTGAAGACTTTATGCCATCCTGTATGGACATAATTATTATGCATAGGCATGTTAGAAACAAAAAAAACACTCCTTCGTGTTCCACCCCAATGAAAGCACTATGTAGAA